AAACGTAGGCAAATTTCCACACAGCCACAAAAGCGAAGAAATAAAATATCACGTCTCAACTTTATTATGGCTAATTGGAGGTGAAGTCTGCGGCGGTGCAAATTAAATCGCTGGCTTTCGAGGCCCACGAGGCGTATGAGTTACGATGCGCTCGATTCGTTGGAAATTCAGCGGCTTGTGTTCTAAAGAAGGCGCCAGGATGCAGACTTCCCCGTTCTGCATTGCTCAATTCAAACAGAACGTAGCACAAATTTACCATTTTTTATGGTAAACATATTGTTCCCTCTTCGGTTTTAGTTCGGTTTGGTTTGGTTCCTTCGGCGACTGCCCATTGGCCGGCAATCAAACTAAGTTAACTGCCTCGAACGTGCCTGATCGCGGGGCTTTCATTTCGAACAGAATCGAATGCAATTCCTTATGCAATTTTATTAAAATTTTTAAATGCCATGCAAACAGGGTGAGTTCGTGCTTGGGGCGAAGAGCTTTTCCAGGGGATGGTTTTTGTGTGGGACACGTTTTAGGGCAGACATTAGAAAGTTCGTTAATAGATAATAAAAGGATCTTTAAAATCTGTGTTACACCTTAAAATATATGTCTAGCATCTTAGTAAGCTTAGTATCATCTCTTCTAAGACCAAAAATTGAAAACCTTGTTTAAGCTAAACTCAACCAACAATTACCATAATTGAACATTTTATTACCCACCCATTGACATGACAAGACTCCTGCCCAAAAACGATCGGCTCCCACACACATAAATTTCAGTGCAAAAAATTATTATCTGCGCCCATCGAAACATATTTGTTTAAGTTCAGCCCAAAAAGACGCAACTCAAAAAAAAGATGAAAACAAAAAAACAAAAAACCAAAATCGATGTTAAGCCAAAGACAAAAGAGGCTTTCCCACAAAACAAATTCCCAGGGCCCTATGCCTAAGCATGCATAATTTTAATTTATTTGTAGCAGCAACATCAGCAGCAGCAGCAGCAACAACAGCCAAAAAGCAAAACAGCACAGACAACTGGCCAACTTATAAAAGTAAAAAGCCAAAAGCCTGAGCAGTCCAAAATGAAGCAAAAGCCAGGCAAAACGCTGAAGCTGGGGCCAAGGAATATTTATGGAAATACCTTCGGGGCGGAGCTCCCGAATTGCGAAAACGTTGATCAAATTTTGCCAGATAAGCGACGACGACGACTACGACGAAGACGAGCGTGGATGATGATGGTGATGGTTATGGTTGTGGTCCACAACCCGGAGCTTGGCGATGTGAGCGTGACTGAAGCATATTGCAATTGGACCAAGTTTAAGCAGGTGCAGAAGTCAATTTAATGAAATCAAGGAAATGGTGATGGGTTGATGGAAATCTGAATGGCTGCCTAATAGCTCAAATTGTTTTTTACACATTTTTAATGGCTTATTGATTCGCATATAATTTTCTGTTTAATTAACAGTTCAGTATTTAAGATTGCTGATATTTTATAAAAAAGAAAGGGCAAAGAAAGTTCAATCTATCAAACTTTCTTTACTATAGAAATAGAAATTCGCAGCCACACTGCTGTTTTACTAACACTTGGGCATACTGGAATAAATATGAATACATTCATGGTCACACTAAAATTCATTTTAATCCTTGCCTTACGATGTTCGTCAAGATTCAGCTTTCTAAGCCGAAGATTTCCTCCTTATCCATGACTCACGCACCCATCTCGAACCCATCAAGCTCATATGCATGTCGAGGTCTTCGAGTCATCAGCCAAAAGGAGTAGGAGTTCGCGGGGGCAACGGGGCGCATGAAGAAAGAGGTGGGGCCGGAGGAGGCTGCGGCTGCGACTGCGGCTGCGGCTGCCTTACAACGTCATCAGTTTTCGAAGGCGTTGCCAAAGAGCAACCGCCGCGGCGACTGTGGGAACTGATATTGCATGCTGCACACATACAACTCACCGCGAGAGCGGTACGTAGTAAACTCCCCTCTGAACCGATATCGTGCCTCTGAAATCTGCATTTGGCCAGGCTCAAACCGAACGTGGTCCCAACTCGTTTGCATTTCTTATTTGCAGCAGCAGCAACAGCGGCAGCGGTCTCAGCCCTCGTCAGATTGGCTGGCGTAATCTGTTTTAACTTGGCTCCGACTTATAACTCGAACTTGGTTCTGGATGGATGTGGTTGGGCCTGACTGCTCCCCGCGCTTTTGACGGTAGTCGTGCTTTGGTTATAAAAATTGAAGCCGCCATTAAATTCTGACAGTTGTCAGCTCTCTCGCGGTTTAGGTTTCTGTTTCAGTCTGGCAGTCAACCTAAGTTAAGTTAAGTAGTTAAAGGAGCACCGGATCGGTGCTGAGCTGGGCCTAATGGCTGCTGTAGTTGGCCAAATGGCTGATGATCGCCTTGGCCAAGGGATTTGGTTATATGGCAATGTTGGAGCCAGAATGTTTCTCCCAGCAATTTGCAAACTTCAAATGCCTAACTGGGCATTTAGATGGTAATAGTTTTGCAGCCTAATGGCCTAATGGGGATAACGAATTGAACTTTAATGCCCAGACCAGGCCCAGCCAGCTTATCGAAAATTGTCTAGAACGCTTATGAAAAGCGCTCTCTCTATGAATGCGAAATCTGCCATAAATTATATTTGATTGATGATTCTGATACGGGGTCGGTCGCCGGTTCCTATTTTAATACAATTAATAAATCATCAGTTCCAGTTCACAGGGTGATCGGTTATAGTCTTACCGATAGTACCTGTTTAAAATTTATGCATACCTCGAGAACTTAACTTTATCAATCTAAATGGACATATTATTTTAGCAGTGCTTGAGTTTAATTAAAGTACTAGCTTTTGAGGCTTAGTAGGCTAAGTATAAATAATTATTGGGAATTTATTCAAGTTCTGATAATGATTAAGTGACTATTGAGACTGCCAAGCGCTTATTTAAATACTCAACTTTCGCTTTAAACTTCAATCGAATCTAATCATTAAATCAGTTCATTTGGCTAAGTTTATCACCATTGCTCAATGTTTTTTTAAGTTAAGACTATCATAGATCACATTCGATCCTTCCCAACTAGTTATTTTGAATACTCTCAGCTTTTTAGCGTTACATGATCTTCAGCTACCGCTTCTTTTGTAAGTCTTTCAGGTAGCAATCAGAGCTATCAGTCAACTGGCTGCAGCCTGATGAGTTCAAATTGCTACTGCACTCGCCCCGGACACGAACTCATCTTCATTTATCACTTTCAATAATAATCAAAAGCCATCAAAAGCGTTGAATGAAACCAAAAAAAATCGGCTTCAGATGGGCCTCCGAGAAATCCAGACAATAGCTGACAGACTGCAATCAAGGTGGAGTTAACAAAAGATGCTGCCAAAGAATTCCCTCCTTGGTTGGGGGGGTTATTAAAAAAGAATTTGCATAAAAGACAAAAAGCCGAAGCACGAGACAAACCACAAGGATTAAGCAATAAATAACTAAGCCAGTGAGAGAGAGCCAAGAACGAAGTGGTTAGTTTTCTATGAAATTATATTCAAATTAGTTTGATGTTTGCCGGTCTGAAGTCAGGGCTCAAAACTGTTGTACAAATGGCATAATTATGGGATAGACACAAAGCACTTTGAGATCACTTCGAGGGCACTTGAAATTATGCTAAAATGGCAAAAGGCGGGAGGAGGTATGGTCTTTCGACAGAGGCTTGACTGTGGCTCCGCTCATCAATTATCCACGTGCTTACAGAGGCTGGCAATTTGTTAGATGTCTAGGCGCTGGTGGGTTGGCCCCCAGGAACGGTGAAGGGGTATTCGCTTTTGACACCTCTGACGTGATTATAACACTTTATGGTGGGTTATTAATGATTTTCATATTGAATAGAAGCAGGAAAACGAGGTAAAGAAACGAGGTATAGAAATATGCTTACCAGATTTGAATTTTCTAAAGGGATATGGCAGATACTTCGTTATTCTTAACTCTCATCAAAATTAATAACTTCCCAAATCAAAATTACATTATGCTGATGCCCAGTCTGATTTCTTAATTAATCAGATCATATTACCCTAAAGGCTCTCTGCTGATTTACATAATGCCGCGCCACAAAACTTATAATTTAATTGCCCGACATGCGATTTTCGTTTCCTGAGCTCTGGCGACCATGTAAATTTCCTCAGACCGAGACATTTATCAGGCGAGCAGATATTCAAAACTTGACCACAGAATACGAGTATAATAATATTCATTCCGGTTACCTACCAAACACGTCAAGTAATGGTGGCCAAAACCAACAAAAAAAGTATAAATTTCTTATATCTACGAATATTGCGTGCAGACAACAGACGATTTTGTGAAAAGCAAACTGAAAGACACAAAAAATGAAAATACAAAAGGAAAAAGGGAAACAGAAGTCGACGATTGGCTGATGAGAGGGCGCTGCGATGATGTTAATGTTGCGCCTGATGATGATGTTTAAGAGGCCAGGTTCTTGGCTTAAAAAAAACCCAACGTTTGTTGCGGGGGTGCGGGGTGCGGATGTGCAGTGCAGGAACAGGCAAACGTGTCTGCTGATGAGGCTAATGATATGAAAATGAGTCCGGGCCAAGATGACACGAAAGTGTGAGCGAGCAGCCATGGCATATAGCATAATCATTTCATTTTATGAATGAAATAAAGGCCGCATAATAAATCAAAAGACACACACGTTGCCAAAACGGAGATGAGTGCTGGCCCAAAACGAAAACGAAGCAGGCTTAAAAACGAAGCGTGATCGGGACAGGAAATGGAAATGAGCTTGCATTATCAAAACAGCGAGGGGTTCTCAAAGGATTCGCCTGAGAGACCATAGAAGATCGATAGGGAAAGAAAGATTATTAAAAAAAGCAAATGTCAAAGGTTTGTTATCAAAATGAGAAATGAAATGGGTGAGAAAAATCACGATCTGCTATCATTTTTGTTGTAAAACCTTTTAAACTCCCCTCGTTTTTATCTGCAGCTGCCAAAATAATCATAAAACATCAAACTTACCGCCTGAATTTTGCATGTGCTGGCCGATGTTGCTGTCGTCATCATCAGCAACATCATCATCGATGTCGTCAATGGTCTGCTGCTGTTGTTGGCGCCTGCAATGTATCTGATGTTGTCGCTGCTGCAGGGCCCATTGCTGACGCTGCTGCTGCTGCTGATGCAGTTGTCGCTGGTGTTGGTGTTGCTGTTGCCATTGTTGCCTCGGGCAAGGAATCATTTTGCTGTAATGCGACTAATGAGGCGGCGAAATTGACGTGTTGCTGCGGCGTGAAGCTAAAGACCGATGTTGCTGCCCCTGATTGAGTTGTTGGCTCGCTTTTAATTGTTGCTGCTGGCTGTTGTTGATGCTGCTGTTGTTGCTGTTGCTGCCAGTACTCGGCGGCAATCAAATGCTGCAGGCTGTGCGTAGGCAAATGCTGGCCAAACAGATTGCTCAGATGTTGCAATGGCGAACTGTTGGCCACATGTTGCTGCAGGAGTTGCTGTTGCAGTAGCAACTGTTGCTGATGGTGATGATGATGTTGCTGCTGTTGCTGCTGCTGCGACTGCTGATGGTGATGATGATGATGATGATGATTGTGATGCGGATGATGATAGAGCAATGTGGATGCTGCAACGCTTTCGGTGGCCTCGCCATTGATCTTATATTTCGATGTTGTTGTCGGCGTTGACATTGTTAGTGCTTCCGCTGAGGACAGCTGTCGCTGGTTGTTGTTGTCGCTGTTGCTACTGCTACTGTTATTGTTGTTGTTATTGCTAGCCTGATTTGTATTGCAATGGCTTTTGTATTCAAGTAACATGCCGTTGTTGCTAGCAACACGCTGCCGCTGCCGTTGCTGAAGTTGCTGCTGATAATAGTTTGCTAGCAACAATGGCATAATCAGTGTTTACGGCTAAATGTGCCAATAGCAGCAACGGCAGAGAGCGCATAGGTAATCACTCCCCCCGGAGCAGATAGCAGATAGCAGTTGACAAAGGTTCCCAAAAAACAGCTCAGGAACCTTGATTAGCGGCGATAGCCGCAACTTGGTCAAGTGGACGAAATGCTGGCCTGTAATTAGCCAAAAGAAGATTAATTAGCCATAAAGGGTGTGTCGGTTGGTGGGGGCGACAAGCTTTTTGGAGCTTGGGAGAGTCATAAATTATAGTAAAGCAATTGTCATGGTAATAAATAAATTTTATATAAATATTTTTTAGAAATTCTGGGCAAGCCAAAAGCCGCAACAATTAGAAATTCAAAGAGAGCTCAAATCGCATTTTCGGCTTAGAAGACGAGCAGCCTGGAAAATTCATTTATGCAAACTCATCACTCCGCACGCAAAGTATGATGGACATGTGAACCTGTTTATCTGCAAGTTATAAGCCCTCACTAGCTTGGCTTTTCTTTCTCTTCCTCTTTTCTTCTTTTTTTGTCATTTTAATTAGTTCAATTTGGTCTTGTGTTATTTTGGTTAAATCTGATCATTGCCTTGAAATTTCACTCGGCGACCAGAGCAATAACATGACGTGGCCGAAAATTAAAATCCAAAAATGCCAAATCATTCTTACTTTTGTTTAGCTTATCAGCCAATTGCAGATGAAAGGCAACGAAGGTGACCTAAAGCGTTGACAAATTCTGTCAACGGTAGCGGTCAATCGAACTGAATATTCATAATCGCCGGCCGAAGAAAATAGCTAGCTGCCTTGCACTGGGAAAGTATTTTTAAAGGTAGAAATTTATAAAAGTGCTTGTGGTTTTATTTATTATACGTATAAATTGTTTGTATTTGTATTAAATATTCATCATTATTGTGTTTTAAATCAAATCTACCATGGATAAATTTTAAAATATATCTTGGGAAAATTCCACATAAAAAACAATAGATTTTTCACTAAGTAATGGAAAATGCAGTCACTTTTAAAAGTGTTTAGCATCTTCAAACTGATGATGCATTTTTCTACGAATCAACTTCATTTCTTTCAGTGCACCTATTGATATTTACAAGCTCCCCAACGCTTTCGGCGCATTAAACTCCCCAACTCCAGCATAGAAACCCCTCACAGACTCCGATCTCGGAGCATCGTAATTACAAGTCATCTACCTGATGTTTTTGACCATTTAAGCCACAAAAAGAAAAAAACGCAAAGTTGAATAGACGGAAAAGACAGTAGCCAGTAGCCATCGGTAGAAGGAGGCAATCGTATAAAAATAAAATAATAATCAGACAATAAACACCGACAGAAACAAATTTCCATTCATGTATTGGGCCTAAACACGCATAATTGCTAATGCCATTTAAATGTGCGGAGAGAACATTTTGTTAAGACCAAGTCATGTTCTATTATTGGGAGAAGAAAAAGAGAAGAGTTTCCATGTTCCGATCACGAGGATAATAACGATCCCGATCTAGATCCGAGTGCAGCGGAAATGTGGAAAGTGACGCGGCCGATTTCTCTTCTAACTATTGTTAAATATTTAACAACATTTAACCCTATAAGCGTATTACGAAACTTACATTGCTGTTGGTAAATGGGAACAAACGGTTCGTTTTAGACAGTTTACAGTTTAAGCAGGGGAAACCTGAGTCTATCTATGTCAAGTTTTAGGAATGGTTTTATATATAAATATATATATTTTTAATATTTAGATTGGAATTATGAAGTAAGCATGTTTAAAAAGCTTAATAATAAAGAACATTATTGTGAAATTATCTGAGACTTATTTAGACTTTTTCTAAATCTAATCAGTAATGATGAGTACTTTTCTGTATAATATAAATAATAATAGTAAAAACATAAAGTAGTTGTTATAAGAAAAATTCTCATTTAAAGATAATATAAATGATTGGTAATAGTAACTAACTGATCTACTTTTGTTAATACTTATGTTTAGCTGCGGAGAACGAACACCTGAAACTGCTTAGTCAGCTTTCACATTAATTTCATCATCGTTCCCAAGTAAGTAATGAATTCATAGCAAATATTTTGGTTACACACGCTCCATAGTTGTATGTAAATATTGATAAGCTTTATAGAACAGGTCTGCCCCATACATATGGTTATGGCTATGACCTTTGCCCAAGTTTCGACAATGCCTTGGCACTCATTATGGGTGTAACAGCACCTACTCTTTAGGAATATTTCATGCGAATATATTTATTTTTGCTTGCCTAGCTAATCAATTTCTGGGGAAGGCTTAGGGCAGTCACAAATATGTAGATAAATTCATATAAAAAATTGTCAATTAATTGAAAATATATTTTTAACTTGCGGACTTAAAATGCTAATAGAAGTTTAGTTGCAAGTCCATAAATATTAACGGAATTTACAAAATTAATTACATTTAATGCATAACCAAATAGAAGAGGTCTCCCATCGATTTCTGTCAACATTTCGAAGGGGGTCTGTATTTTTTGTTTTTGATTTTATATTTATGAATAATGGGCTGCCATTCGTAAAGTGCCAAAGGGAGATTTCCAGCAGCTTAAGTTGGCTTAGCTTTGCGCTAGAAAAATAAAAAAACAAACCTTAAATATTAAATACTAAATGAAACAATTTGTGACTTAGCAACTAAGACAAATTAAACCCCATTGCAGTTCAATAATAATTAGCAACACCTAACTGATTGTCAGAGCCCCAAACTTCTTTCGAATGCTAAACAAATTATTTGTCTTTCTATCTAGACAACAGCATTTTCCGGCCCACATTTGGCACTTGCCTTTGACTCATTTCCATTTCGCGGTATCAAAAGTGGGGCCACAATCTTGATAGCAGTCTGTGTTTGTTAACTAGCCAGGTCTTACTGTAATTGACTAATGAATGCCATTCATTGTTCCCTTACTGCTGACTTTTTCTTTCCAACTTGTGACAAATTTTATTTATTATTACTTGGCTTTTTGTTCTTGTGTCATGTTCGATTGTTATTGGTTACGTTTATTGGCAGGCTGGTTCTCAAGAACAGACGACCATCTAATGGCTATCACGTGGTTTTAACTGATCGATTTATATAAGGAGAGTGTGTACTTCAAACTGAGGAAGTGGAAGAGGTCAATAAAGGGGAAGCACATAACTTAAGCTTAGTAAAGATCTATAAAAGGGGAATGATTCTTGGAAATGCGATATTTGGCTTATTTTGTCAAGTTAGGGGCTGCTTTAAAGATAAGATTATATATAAGATATAGTATAATGACTTTCAGGACGGATATTACGAACTAAATAAGGTAAAGAAGCATAGCTTTCAGAGGTTAGAAATGATTATCATTATCCAATCCTTACTTTTAGATCTAAAAATCCTACAAAAATTCCCAATGTTAATGAGTTTACTTTTAAGCTTTTTGCATTCATTAACTGATAAGCAACTCATTTCCTCTTACGAGTTAGCCAAAATTGCTTATAAATATCACTTAATGCCCCAAAATATCAGGTATATAGCCCTCAACCCCGCCAAATCGTTCACCCTTAAGCCAATTGGCACTTGAGGCTAGTACTATCGCATCGGACAACTTACCTTACCCAAGCGAAAGAATCGAAGAAAACCGGTGCTAGCCGATTGCAAAGATTGCAAAAAGGCGAAACAAAAAACAGAAACAGGCCCCCAATGAACTTTGGTCGAGACTAAACATCAGCCCATATTTCGAGATTCTATTGTTAACTGCGGTGAAAGAATTACGAGTTCCTAGAACTCACTTCACTAAACTTTAACTCAAGTGAGCTGAAGTGGCGAAGTGGGCTGCCATAATAAACGAAATCAGGTGAATTTAATAAACTCTAATCACAGGCCTTATACTTATTTGTTAATTTTGCAAATTATATTTTATTGGCATGTTCGTATCGCATTTCAGTAAATAGAGGATAGAAGTGAAGGTGAGGCAGGATCCTTTTTTGGTCAAATTGCCTTATCAAAGCGGCAAAGAAATATATAATTCTTATCAAACGATTGGTGTTTTTGTAAAGACTTATGTGCAGTATTTATAAGAAAAGTGAATCACTGTGAATATTTAAATTTTATAAGGAAATTACCGGATTGATAAGATTTCTGAGAACTGATAGCTCATTTCTGTGTATGCACTTCCTGTGACGCTCGAAAAAAGCTGACAGAAAGAACTAGTTTTTTATTCTTTTACTCCTTTGAATGATATACAAGGTTGGGTAAACTATAAATTATAATTTAAAATAGGTTAAAAAGAAAAATCATTAAAGCTCGTTAGAAATAGAATATTTTAAGAATATTTGTAGTCAACTTTTCTACAATATTCAAAACTCATTTTAGGATATTTCAAAAATGTAAATATGCTTTTAAAATCTTTAAATTTCAAATTCAATTTCCCAAAAACAGAGCATACACTTGTCACCATTAAGGATTCGCCAGCCCACCGATAGCCATTCAATTGATTAGTTTTTCGAAGCTTGGGCAAATGTCATTGCTGGAACACGTTGACGATGATATGCAAAGTGCTGAGGCATAAAGTCAGTTGAAGTGGAAGTGCCTGGCATGACACAGGTTCTTTGGTGACTTTATCTCACCTTACCATATACCATGCCTTAGCTCACCTGCCGGCGGTGTCTTATCAGGCCAAAAACAAACAAATTGAACTCATTTTTCTTTTTAAACAACAGCTTCGACGCAATTGTCGACACGGGTCTACACGGCACACAGATATAGATAGATAGATAGATAGAGATACTCCAATAAGACGGGCCAACTCGTCTTGGCTTGGCCTGGTCGGGCTTAATCA